ATACTATTATAATTAAATAATAAAAATGAGAATAATAATTAATCATAAGTAAACTAGGAATTAATTACAATTAATATCCTTATAAAAATAATCGCCATAACACTTACACTATTAGCAATAACTATAGCTGTATTTGATACTAGAGCTTACATAGTCGGAAGGTGTGGTTTAATGCAATCTAAGCTCGTAGATGTATCGTGTGGAATTGTAAAATCCCTTTTTGTATGTTATTATTATATATATAATACTTAGAAATCCCTTTACTTATTATTAACTATTAAAAATTCAAAAAAACCTCTGAATAATCTTTTAAAATTATAGATTAATAAATAATAATATTTTTTATTATAATCACCTTTTTATTCCCCTTTTCACCAAACTTTATATATAAATTATATATTGAATATATTTAATCAAATTAATTAAATATTCTAATTATATCAAAACTATTAATCTTATTTTTTGTATATATTAATAATTTAATATATTAAAGAAAATTGAGATATTTATATAAATTTATTAACTTTATTTTTAAATAAAAGTTTTTCACCTTACTATATCCAAATTCTTTAAACTATTATTAATATTATTTTATCTTTAATTCGATATTTCTATCAACTATATTATATTATTATTAATCAGCAAACATTATAAAAAGAAATATTAATATATTATTATAATTATTTATTATCTAATTAAAATATAATATTTTATATTAATTATAAAACTATTTATTGAAAAGATCTATTATCTATATAATATATCTAATAATATTATATTTAATAAAAACTTATAATTTGTTTCTAAATTTTGAAAATATTTATTTGAATACTTATTAATCACTTTAAAATAATCTTTCTTATTTCATTCCAAATCTAATAATTAAATAAAAAGAACTAATATTATAATTAAATAATATCTTTATGTTTTTATAAACTTTTATTAAAATCATTAATTTAATTAGTTTTTATTTATAAAATTTATATTAAATAACATTATATTGAAAATTATTGATATATCTCTATTCTTTACTGATAATGATTTCCGTTTATATCTCAGTATCAAATTATTCATATTTATTTTATTAAATTTATTATATTAAAAAAAACAAAAGTTTTTTAAAATTAACAAGATTATAAATTAATTTGATTTTATTTTAATTACATTAAAAGTATTTATAATTTATTTAATTTAGAAATATAAAGATTATATTAATAAAATCTATAATAATATTTTTTTATATAAAGAAAATAATAAAGTATAAATGAATATAAAAAATATAAAAATTAATTATCTAATAAAAAAGAATAATAATAAATAGCATAGTTTTTATAAAACTTTTAAGATTTATAAATATATTTACCTACTTCAATTTTTAACTAGTTTCAAAATCTTTTTAATGTTTCATAATTTACTATTTTAACCGTTCTATTATTTATCAAAATTACTAGATCAGAATATTATTAATATTATCGAATTATATAAAAACTAAGACTAAATTCTTAAAAGAAATAATAAAATATATAAAGAAATTAAATATTAAAAATTCAAAAAAATCCTTAATTATTATAACAAAAATGCATTTTTTTATCAAGTTAAATAAAAATATTATTTAATATCTTAATAATTTACTGAAAATATTTATAATTAGAAGAATATAATTATTATCTTTTATTTAATAAATTCAAATAAATTAGATTTATTGATTTAAATAAATTTCAAAAGATTTGTAGTTTTTAATTTTATTGATTTTTTATTAGTATTTATATTAAATATATTAAATATATTTTTAAAATGAGGTTGAAGTAAATTTAAAAAACTTTATTGATTAATTATTACCTTTAAAAAATTTATTTCAATTTAATAGTAGAAATTAGAGTATTTTAATTGTAATTGTAAACCAATCATTTTAAGCGAGGGATACTATTATAGTGTTAATTATATATTCTATAATTATTTTTGTATTTTAAGTATAAATTATTAGTATACCCTACTTCTTATAAGTAGAGCCTTACTTTTTTATAGCTCTTTTATTCTTATGGTATAATATAAGTCTTTATCTGTACCCTGACAATTATTAGATTTTTAATAGTTTTAATTAATTGATTTAATTGTTATTAAATAATATGAATTTGAAAGTATAAATTGAAATGAAAATGAGCTACTCAGTAATATGGGCTATCTCGTGTTAAACTACATTAATTAATTGAATTTAATCAATTTAATAATCATCTTCTATATGTTTCTATTTAGTTTTATTTTATTATAAATCGATTTGATAAAAAATACTATTATATAACTATATAATAATATAATTTTATAATATAAAATCATATTGTATATATATATTAGTCATCAAGATATCTCTTAATTAATAATAACGTAGTTTATCAGTGCGTGCACCATATCAGTACATGCACCACTTCAAAATACACCTAAATTAATCTTTTTTCAATATTTGTATTTTAATAACAAATCATTGTTTTTTTTAAAAAAAAATATATTAAATAATAATAAAAATAAGATATTTAGAAATCTAAATTTTATATAAATATTCCTATTATATTTCTAGAAAAGTTGAAATTGTTACGATTTTCGTTACAAAAAAATTATTTTAATAATAACTTTTATTTTAATTCAAATCTTTGAAAAATAATTCGATTTTTATATTATTTATATAAACAAATATAATAATTTCCTTAAAGAATCCAATTATATTAATAAATAAAGGAAGTACACAGTTACGCACAGATATATTTTGTATATAAAATTCGTAGTACACATACTGATATAATACATGCACTAATAAACTACGTTATATTAATAAGTAATTTAATGAACTTATTATGGATTTTCACATGTTCTAAGCCATCAGATGGTCGTATTGAGCATATGGATGACTCTCAGAACTACGAAAGAAGACGCCAAGTTAAGAAGCTGGAGTATCATTTCTCTGGAGGATGTGTAGTATATCATTCCTCATATAAAGTCTAATACAATGCCAAAGTAAAACATGCTACACAATCGCATCATATTCTTGTGCTTTTCTAACTTAAAAAAGATTCTCGATGCTATGCAAAATTGGCCTGAATCCGAAAACTCAATGAACTCGGTATATCATCGAGATAGGTAATCTAATTATCAACTTGTGCTTGGAAAGCTGCAAGCTTGAAAACTTGCACACAAACTCGGTAAAGCGGATTTCATGGTATGAAATTCTAATTCTCAAAAGGCTGCTGATTCTGTCATCAGGATGAGCTATTGGTCTATTGCTCCAGACATGGAGGCGTGTCACATCTATGGCTAATTTGAATTTTCTAGCTTGCTCGCTCCAGTTACCTCTTTGGGTTTAGCGGGCTCATTTTGGGATGTATGCGTTAAAATAGCAATTCGATACCCAAAAGTTGATTGTATTGTACAAGATCTACCATCAGCCATCGAAGATCTACTTCAGGACGGAATTCCGGCTCTAGTCAAAAATAAAGTGATTCCATAAAACAAGAATTCTTCAAGAAACGACCGGTTCATGGGGCCAAAACATTTCATCTCCCTACCGTGCTCCATGACTGACCGGAGGAGAGCTTGGTGCTAATTCTCCAGAATCTTATTCAGGTGTTGAAAAGGGGTTCCAAGAACTCTGGTGAGAGACGCAGCTATGCCTAGGCTTGGAGGTGTCTCAATTGAGGAGCCGCGTCGGCAGAAGTGAGACTATTTTCCAGATTCACGGCTTGCTTGTTTTTTAAAGATGATAGTGAATCGAGATCTCTTGGTGTGTCGTTGAAAGTATTTTCACACGAAAAGCAACACATAGCCGAGCAATAGTGGAGGATTTTCCAAACACCTAGTTCAAATTCCAAGTGATTAAAAGTGGTACTTACTCACGACTTACAACAGTTGTCACTGATTCAATTAGCCGGGAAGTGAAAAAGTAAATTTCTTTTGTATATTTTGTATCCGGCTTTGCCTCGAATTTCATGTCGATGATTACCAAATTGCTTCCGGAACATGGTGACGCATTCGGTGTAGTTTATTGGGGATTTTTCTTCGCGAGCTCCTTATGTGAGCATGAAATAATACTTAGATGATTATCCATAAACCAATGGTGATTGAAAAATAAGTTCGCAAACTTGATATATTTCTTGGAGTTGTTCAACAGGTCATCATACAAATGATGAATACAATTGCTGGGAAGGTATTTAAGTTGATTTTATTAGATCTAGAACTAAAGTAAGGAAGAGAGCCAACTGGAATGACTGTAATGCTAGCCTCATACTAGTGTGGCCCTACAGGGAGTTTTTAACAACAATACTGTTAGTATCACTTCGGTGGCGGTTATGATGCCTTCATAATGGGTATACTATATTCTAGCTTCTAGAGCTACGAAAGCTATATGCAATACGTACGTGCGCTAGTGAGCTAGCGCTCAAGTGCGTATATTCAATCATATCGCGACAAACACTCATGTAGCTAGCTTCACTAATATCAGCTGCACTGGCTTTTTCCAACCCCATTCTCAACCCTGCACCACTTAAAAGTTGCTGTTCCACCTTTTTTAAAGAGGTTTCGACACTTTCTCCATGGTTATTATGAAGAATCACACTATACCCACTAAAAAATCTTACAATAGCCGCGCAGAACTCTGCTCGTACAAATCGCTAACCTAAAAATAAGCGAGAACCATCGGCGAATTGAATAAATGCATCTTGAGTTTCTGGTAATCTCAGCCAAGGTTCTGGATGGAAATTCGACACCTGGTATGGCGGATCATTCACAGATGTCTTTGGATTCTTTAGCCAGTGCTTTGGGTTACGATGAGCAGCACTATAGCTTATCAAGATTAGCCCATTGGCTGAGATGACATGTATTTGGTCGCCTAGAGATTCCCGAATTTGGTGTTGGCATGCAAGTGACGTGATGGCATCTGTCAATGTATTGTCAGTTGTTTTGTGACCTGTAAGGATAAATATAAATACGTATTAGTTGCAATATCAATATCCTAATATGCGCTATAGTTTCACTATAGTATACTATTGTCTACACTGGATGATACTACGTTCCTTTACTGGCGGTTGGTACAGTTTAAACTCCCGTGTTTCTCGACTTAATGTATATTTAATGAAAGCTCAATACGGTACATACGTATATACCACTTGCTCTCCGAAAATTTAAAATCGCAGACTAAACAGATAAGCGAAAGCAATGCCATCAACCTCTCTTTTGAAACTGCAAAATTGGCCCCTCCTTCCCAAGAATAAAGAAGTCTCTCATCTCATACTCTCCATGTCTTCCCACACCAATCTTCTTGCACCCAGCCGCAATCCTCATATTATAAAGCCACAAGACCCTCGCAACACCTACTTGCAACTCATATAATGCTACACTTTTTCCAATACATGCTCGAGGTCCAAGACTGAATGGAACAAAAGCCTCTCTAGCTTTGGATACTTCCTCTTTAGTACGACCTTCGTTTTCATCCGTTCCTTTGGACCCTTTGATCAACCATCGATTAGGATCGTAAACATATGGTTGATCAAAATGCTGGGCACTGTGATGCAGTGAGTAAGTAGGAACACCTACAATAGTCCCTTCTTGAAACTGATGTCCATTTACCTGCAAGCCTCCAGGAAGGACTTCCCGAGGAAGTGGCATTGGAACGGGAGGACACAGACGCATACTCTCGTCAATACAAGCACGTAGGTAAACCATTGAATTGAGAGCCGGGCCATGAGAAATAGACTCAACATCCGGAAATGTGCTACGGATGATATTCGTGAGTTTTTCTCGGATAAAAGGATGCTGCGAAAGGAAATAGAAGATACTAGTGAGAGCAGAATTGGCGGTATCTGATCCAGCTCCAAGAAGCAATGTAGTTTCAGACATCAACTCCGCTTCGGAATATCCTTCGCCGGTATCCGGGTCGCGTGCTTGTTGGAGATAATAGACGATATCTCTCCGATCACTATTTGTAGCATTGAGACGATTGCGGAGCTGTTCGGATGAAAAGGAAATTTGTTTCGCTCGTTTCTCTGCTCCATTTTGAAAGAGGAATCTACCAGCATTTAATGTTTTAAGAAGAGGCCATTGACCAAGGACGTTAATTCGCCGAACATTCGCAGCCATTAGGTCAAGGAAAAATCGATTTTCGTGACTGAGTGATGTGTTGAATGTCTTGCCAAAACATATTTCCCCCAACGAATCGAAAATCATGTAAGCGGCCCAGTGAGCCATATCTTTCGGACTGGACCAATCTCCCGGTCTCAGCTCTTTAGAGTGAGAGACGGAAGTGGAGGATGAGCTCGGATCATCACTGGCTCCCAATCCCGTGCACCAGTCTCTAATGGCAGATAATATATGCGGTTCCATGGTACGTACCGCTTGATCGGAGAAAGCTTGCGTCATGACACGTTTTTTTCTCGCATGAACTTCCTTATCGACTATATTGAAAATGCTAAGACCATAGAAAACACGGTACCAACTGGACTTTTGCACATTCGCTTTGTGGCTATATATTTGTTCTAGAGCCGAAGCACTGTTGATGGAGATGTGATTTGGACCAAAGCGGACAAATTCACCGTGTTTCTGATGAAGATCGTAGAGGTTGGTATGCATGGTTCCATAGATGGCATGGTAGGCGGCATATATGCTGCTGAACTTTGCGAGCAATGGCCCTGGATATCCGGCAAGTGGATGGAATTTTGTTTGATAAATTACATAGCTGATCGTCTGGATAGGTCTGTTAGCATCATATCAGAGCCATGCTACGTGTTATCTAGAAAATGACGCACCAGGAGAACGACGAGCCCACTTAGAGCTGTTAAGATGATTATTTCAGTTGAGGCAAATACCAGATTGGTATTGTAATTTATTGCGTCTCGAAACATTTCAACGACAGTGTTTCTGCAGATAAAAGCATGCGTTCCCCCAAGGTCTCGAATGTGATGCTTGATATTTTGGAATCTTTTTAAAAAAGAGGCAAAAGGTTCGAATGAGGACTTGGAGGTAACCCAAAATTCACAAGTGCAAGTATTGCAACAAATGATAATTTTAATTTGCAGCCCGCATGGGAATCGACATCTGTTCACAACTACCTCGCTCGTTTTCATGCATAAAGATCCAGAGATTCTGTGCCGTTGAGGTGCATCGATGATTAGGTCCACAATTATAAGGAATATCCAAAGAACGAAGATATCACTCAGGTCGGTAGACAGGGTATTTATCTAGGCAATTTCCTGTTATTTGTGATGTGTCGCGTCGTAGCCAATGATCTCAGTTCCGGCTAGGAAGCGGTGCCTGGATCAAGTGATCTCACCAAAATTGCCGGGCTTCTTATCCGAGCACAATAAGCTGAAATCGGGGGCTGGTATATTCAAGTTGATGAAGTTCTTCGAAAAGCGAGACTATCTCATAAAGAACTGCTTATAGCGAATAAGGGCTTTCGTAACATGGGAATTCATAAGACATTGCTGCATTAGGTAATATCGTCAGATCAATCCACTCACAGGGATACGTAGGAGGGTACCCGAAAGCAGTACGAACCCCCGGGAAACAATTAGTTCATGAATGCTACTGTCCTTTGGATAAAAATAATTTCAATTACGATTCTGGCATCAACATTGATTTACAGAGCATTCAATTTCCCCCGAAACATTTCCTGGGCAGATTTAGTACAATTATCCGATCCTGCAGTTCAATACCAACACACACCAACACCGAATGTTACAGTGACGTTACTATGCGTTTCAAGTATATATCACATTTCTCAGTTTATAAATGGAAACATCAACAATGAATAGCGCCGCACCGTGATGCACCGTTCTTCAACGTCCCGCAATACATATCTTCCGCTAATGGCGTCGCGATATTGTGGATCTAAAGACTTTTATTTAACTCAAATCCAATTACAATTAATCATACTTCGCATTGTCGTACTTTATCACCTGGAAAATGACATCCCAACAGCCTAGATTCTCTCCGGGCTACGAAGACGAGTACATTGGCAACGTGCTAGTCAATGTAATCATTGCATTTACTATTCTCGAAATAATATTCGTTGCCTTGCGTTATCTCGCTCAAAGAATTGGTCATAAGCCTATTGGTATCGATGATTGGCTTGTTCTTCCTGCACTAATCTTCAATCTTGGTGTCATTATTGATGCTTTAGGTACGTTTCAGGACTCTTTGATGGAGGAATACTAAAATTGTATAGTTGGTGTCAAGATAGGACGTGTGGGTTACCATATGGATGTCGTCGAGGTCAAAGACCCTGCTGCTCTGATCTCCTGGGCGAAAGTTCTTGTCGTCACTCCAATTGTATATTCTGCCGCATGTTGCATTCCAAAGATTGTCATTCTTACACTTTATCTTCGCATATTTACACAGACAGCATATCGAATAGCCTGTTACATACTCATAACCATCGTCGTTTGTCTGGCGATTGCAGATATTATTTCAGGGGCAACCTTGTGTACGCCAGTCGCATACTTGTGGGACAAGACAATACCCGGCGGTCACTGTATCGATATCGTTACTTTTTATCGCTGGGGAACCCTTCCAAACGCTATCACCGACGTTTTCATGTTAATCCTTCCACTTCCTGTGGTATGGAAGCTTCATACCTCAAAGCGTGTCAAGATTGGACTCACAATAACATTTCTGACGGGAAGCATGTGAGTATCAATCAAGGTGTACTTCGCCTTCAAGCAACAAGACTTCAGACTAACATTCTTTTCTGCAGAGGCTTGATCACTTCAATCTTGCGTTGTGTTGCCTTCTTCACCAATGATCCATTGAAAGATGGGACTTGGGCTTCAGTCACTTTCCTCAATTGGAGTATTATTGAGCCTGGAGTATATTTAATCGCATGCTGCCTTCCAAGTTTTAGACCTCTATTCTCTCTAGTCAAGCCTGGCTCCAAAAAAACTTCCAGTTCAGCATTGACAAGATCGATTCTTGACGGTACAGCAGGAAAGTTATTTGGGTCTAAGAAACGATCTAGAGAGCTTGATACATTGGGCACAGGTACTGATGATTATGCCTTGAAAGAAGGCAATCATACCACGGTAAAATCTCCCGCACGTCAGAGTGACGAGGAAGTTCTGGTCAATGCTTGAAACATTACCGTTGGCCGAGATCAACACTGTATAAGGTCTTAGAGCCTGATGAAGAAATCTTTGCTCATGGAGGGACAACGAACTTAGGTTAAAACTACTGATAAAATGAGCTATTTTGTATTTCAACTATCAAATATAATGCATATAATTCTATTACACTGTATTAATGCTGGTCGCAAAAGGTAACTTTGTCCTATCTTCTGTCAAATATTTTTTCTGCCTAGTGTTACCATGAAATAAGGTATTCTGAATATTTGAAATCTCAGAGAACGTAGCAGGTCCCGATAATTATAAAATTCAATTACCATTGCTGTTAGATATCTTCGAAAACGATCAAGCAAACAAATCCATCAATCAAGAGCATAACGCGTGCTACATACTAAATAACTAACTAACAGTTCTCACAGCTTGTTCTTTGGGCGGCTTGGTCGCCTTACCACTTGCAGCCACTTTTGACTTGGAACCATGTGGTCCCGGACAGTCATGTTTTTTCTGCTTTCTCTCCATTGCTTTTCCGTCTCTCTAAATGTCCCTAGTTCGACTACCAGCCATTCAGAACATTCTTTTGCAGTTTGAGAGGTTTCTTCGAAAGGAAACAGATGCCCTTGCTTGCTCATTACAATTTCCTTTACCCTACCTTCAGGAATGCCACCGGAACCACCAACACCGGTCCCAGTTATTTTGATACCCTCTCGCATTTCGTCAAGTCGGAGGTAGGTCTTTTCTCCCACGAGCCACAGAACAGAAGGACGTAAACTAGGCAATTTGTAGAAGGTACTCCGAGGCTCAGGTCGGTATAGTGGCACGAAAGCGGCCAGTGGATCCATATCTGCATGTGTGGTGCGATTGATTTTGATTCTACCATCTGGCTGCCTTGCGGAGAAATTTTCACGCAATTGGACGAAAGCATCCTGATACTTGTTTGTAGTCAGTGTAACCGGTGGGTCAGCGGGGTCAGCATCAGAAGGGAGGTCTGGATAGAGTATGGTAGGCAAGTCTCTGTATCCGTATTCGATCATTTTATTCAATACTCGAGGATCCCAAGTCCTGGATGCTTTTGCTTGTGATTCTGCAGCTGCCTTCCTATTTGGCCAGATATCCTGCCGGTAGGTGGTGTAGTTCACGCCACCTAGCGTATCCGTGCCAAAACCCATTGGCGGGGGTGAAAGCTGTATGACCGGGTCCATCAAGATGAGGGTGGTAAACAAACGAGGGTGCAGGTAAGCAAGATTGGTACTGTAGCAACTGTTAGATTGATGGAGAACTGATCAGTGATGATTACGAACATTTGGCAACCACCGAAGCTATGCCCGATGCCCACTATAGGTCGGGGCATTTCTTTACGAAATTGATTAATCATGACGAGTAGGTCGCGAGGATGAT